TACCAGCCATCCTTTTCAATCTCCAGATGTATCGGGGTTGAAACTGAAACAACTTCAAAGGCAGAACCGAAACATAGACTAATCAATTGTACTTTCCCTTCGGTTATACTGCTTTCCTATGTTTAGCATGATGCCGTACAATTGAGTTTCTACCATGCAAAGCATTTTAATTTTAAAAATTGTCATTGTTTGTATTTGTCGTTTTACATTTCCTATTCATATGTGGTTTGGCGAAATCCTCAAAAAATGCTGGGCCTATACTTGCCAGTAGTGTCTCTTTAAATTCCCAGTGTATAACCCCAAGCCATTTCTGAATGCAATAGTGAGATTACAAGGCTTATGGTCTTAAGAAATATTGAGGAGAGAAGCAGAACAAGAACTAAGTCAATGAAAATAAGGGTCAAACACTGTATCCTGTATTATAACAGCCACACAGGTAGGTAGAAGGCATCTCTCTATGGGATGGTCAGAAAATCCAGTAAGCATGGAGAGGAGGGAGAGGGGTTAGACATGAGACTCAGCAGTGAGATGGGGAGGGAGGGAGGAAGGGATGGTATGGATTTTCCAGGGGACTGAATTGCTGCTATTCTTCTATTGTTATTAGGAAACCTATTCAAGTGAACTGTTTGTGCCCTTCTGGAGAGTGTGTGATGCAGAAGAAAAGCCTGTCTCCCTAGGCTGTGGCACACCTGAGCTTTGCTAGACGCCAGTAGGTTGCTCAGTCTTCCAAAAATAGACAGCACATATTTACAAAGCAAAGGTGCTGAGGTCTCTTCTTCCCTGCAGCCTGCCTAATTCTCAGACTGAGACACAAGTGCTGAATGGGTTTAGTGAGCTGGGCCCATTGTAATCATATCATTAATTTTCTGTCATGCAAAATCACTCAGAAAACGGGCTTTTCTCTATATGGACTCAATCCAATCAACTGCCATCTGTTGAGCACATGCCGTTTGCAATCAGACGTTCTAAAAATGCCACGAGTGAAATAATTTCAGTGGACTCGTTCCTGTTCATCTGTGGTCAACACTACACGAGCTGCTCAAAATGAGACTGGGGTTTGGGGTTTCTTGGAGCTTTACCAAAGGGTTTAGATTAGATTGGAAAAGAACAGCAAAACCTCTTCACTTGCCTTTTATTCTAGTCACTGATCTGCTTCCTTCTTTCCCAAGCATATCATTTCTGCAAGAACAAAATATGATGGTCTGGATGCTGATAATGCTAAATACCCACTGAGGCTAGTGGCAGATGCAAGGTATCGAAAGTGTCTCCGGATTGGGCAATACCAAATCACAGCCAGACAAATCACCTGGGAAAGCCTGTACCATGCTGGCCACTTCAAGGTCTTTGGAACAAAGATACTTCGATCCAGTCAGAAAAAGATAATGGCAGCACAAGTGAGGCCAGCTGGCATGAGGTGTTACTAAAGCAGGCCAAAAGGATACTTGGTCTTATACCAGATCGTGCTTTTCCCTAACAGAAGGTGTAAAGGTTGCAGTATTAACAATTGCTTTATAGAAGGATAAAGCAAATGACTGGGATGCCTAGAGAGTCATGCTGCGTACATGAGCAGCAAAAAAGCATGTGTATGGAACCTAGTGAAGTAGTAAAATTGGTAAGAACTGAATCCTAGCAGTCTGGGTGTTTTGCACTGGATTTTTTTTCTTTGCTTCCAGGTGGGGAAATCTCATTTCAGAGTCAATACTAGACTCTATCTTGGAAACTTTTAAATGCAGACAACTCAAGACTATGTTTTTCTTTTTTTAAATAACTGCTCAGTTTTCAAAGCTGCTGTGCACCTGTGACTGTTGAAGCCAGTGGAAGGTGCAAGTGCTTAATGCTTCTGAAAATCAGGAGGTAAAGCGCTCTCTGCCTTCCCGGAACCATATCTAATAAACAGCAGTACGCTCAACCCGCTGACAGTGAAGCAGAGAACGGGGGTGCTCAGATGCCATGGTGGGGAAGCTTCTGATGTAGGAATCTGCACAGAAGGAAAGAGCAGCTTTCCATCCATCGTGAAGGAGGGGCTTGTAGTTAGACCATTAATCTGGGGCATAGACAGCTGGGTTCATATCCCCATCTGCAGTATGGAGTTAATAGCACTACCCTACCCCCCAGGGGTATTGTGAGGTTAAATCCAACAGAGGGTGTGAGGTTCTCTGATTGTCTTGGGGTTGAGCCACCCCCAAGATACAAAGACCAACCTTCAGTGCAAACAGTTGGCAGGAACTTCCTGGTACCCAAGTTGTGCATGATGAGGGAAGGGGTGGGGGAAACTACTTTCCAAAATGTACAGGTGAAGAACAGATGCATCTTGTAACATCTTGCACGCTTAGTTAAAGCTTGCAAGATGTTGGTTTAGTTGTACTATGGAGACTGAGGAGTAAAAGTTAGGAGTTGATGTGTTCGTTTGGTAGAAAGCATGAAGTATGTAGTGGCCTCTTTGATATTTGTGTGAGCTGAAGAAAAATGTTCTTTTGGACTAGACTATCACATTTTTGTGCAAGTGGAGGCAATGCCCAGTGGCTAGAGAAACAACAGGGAGTTGCTGCTTTGGTTATAATCCTGTCTTGTGTGAAGGGGGTATGTGATTTGTCACTTGATCCCTGGCAGGCTAGTACCAGTCTACTGTTGAAAAGTGCTTTGGCATCTTTAGGTGAAAGTGTCTAGTTTAAATTGTTGCTGGTGCATGTTGAGAAGTTGGTCCATTGCCTAATTTTGATTAAAAATGGAGAACAAAGGAAATTTTGACACTTAGTAACTGGATATGTGAGGAGAGAAATAACTGCTAATTGAGGTCTCTGTCTTCTGGCAGCATATAGGTTGCATTCTTTGTTCCTCTAATTTCCTGAGCACTTATTTTCTTCACAGTTCTGCCTTGTAGTTATTTTTTAAAATAAATTTCACAGATTAACAGTCACTACTTTTTGCTTTGCAGCCCAAAGATAATTTTTTACAAAAAGAAAGAAAGGAAAAACCTCTCATTTAACAGCACTTTTGTTTTCCTATTTTCTAATTATACATTGGACAAGCGGCACAGGGCTTTCCTTAAGAGGGCAGCAAAAGCTCCTTGGCTACATCCCAAATGCCCAAACTTCACCCTCCTTTTTAGGATAAGAATGGGACACAGGATTTGGCTTAAGAGCTTTAGGCTTGGGAATGTAAGAGCTTTAGGCTTGGGAAGTACCTCATTGCAGCCAGTGTTTTTCAGAAAAAAATCTGTTTCCAAAACAGGAGTACAAGCATTTGAGACATGCACCACATCCTTCTGCTGGCTCCTCATTTATCAGATGTCTCATAAAATGAGAACTGGTGCTACAGACATCTGCCCAGGTCCCCCTGCATATCTTTCTTGACATGTGCTTCATCTCAGAAACTATTCTGGAAAGAGGAAAGCTGAGACTGAGACCAGCACTGCCTTTCCGTTCACAGCCCTCTACACACCTTTCATTGAAACCCCACGTAGCCTCTTTTAGTATAACCTTTGCTTCTGTTTATTCTCATCTGCTCAGGTCACTTCTAATGGCTTTTACCCACTACCTCATTGCATGTCATTGAAGGGTTGGGAATTAGTGATTCCTTCTAGGTGTATGATTTTCTTCTGCTTGAATCAGTCTGTCACTATACACTTATAACCAGTACATAAATCTCTCTCGTTGCTTGTATTTTTCTGCCTTAAGCCAGTTGTTCTTGCCATGAAGGATCCTGCTTCATGAGAAAGCAGGGAAGCAGTTTAGGGTTGATGAAAAACCCACGCTGCACAAGCTCGGTCTGTTTCTAGCATTGCATTGAGGGCATTGCTTTAGATCTGGATACGTTCAGTTAGTTCAGGAAGTGTGCGGTGGGTCTCCCTCCACCTTTCAATAGGAGTTGACATCACAAATTCCCTACCATGCATAGGGCTAATTGGTCCTCTTTGCAGTAGTCTCACACAACAAATACTGTAGGTCAAATGGGGGAGCGAGACATAAATATGCCTGTGTCTAAAGGCACCACTGTAGTCCTTGCAGTGGTTTGCACTTAGAGCTAGAAAAGCCAACTTGGATTGTTGACCAACACATGCTAAGATTTGGTTTGTGTTTTGGCTGTATTGACCAGCCTTTTAGCAACCCTATTTTCCAGTGCTGAAATACATAATACCAGGGTAAGGCCACTTCTGTAATGCCACTTGCCTCAAATCTACCTGCTGTCATATAAACCTGTTGACTTATTGCCAAAGTTTGTTACCTCTTAATACAAGGAAGCAGCTAGTTAGAAGTTAAGCTCTTGGGGTGAAGCCTGTTGTTCTGTTTGTACCTAGTAAACAGGGATGCCCAGGGCATTACAGCAATGCTGACAGTAGTGGGCACACAGAATTACAAAGGGTAAGAGAAAACTGGCTTCAAACACAAGGATAAGTGCCTTCTCGGGAGAGCGCTCTGTGTCTGTGAAACACAGACGAGACCCTATAGCTTTTACATTCTCTGGGAGAGCCCTCTGCATGCCCACACATGCAACATAAGCATATGGGCTGTGATATACCTCCTTCCAAAGGGCACATAACAGAGGAGGAATAACCCAGCCTACAGAATTCACTACAGCTTCATATTTCATAGGTAGTAGTGCAGCTGTGTTAATAGCCTCGGTTAGCACATCCAGCATGAGACTTGTTCATTCAGATGCTGAAGCAATCTGGGGGTGTGGGAAGAAGGACAAGGAATAATACTGAAGCAGGCTGAGAGACCGATAAGGAGAGGAGATTTCTGCTCTGCTCCAAACTGAAAATGTCACCAGGGCTCCCGAGTGGAGGATAATGGTATACACAGGGGCTTTTAAAAGCACGCAAAGAACGCAGGGTGTTGAATAAAGAGAACGCTCCTGTTTAACTCTCGGCCTATGTGCTCAGCAGGCCGTTGGTTAAAGAAGCCTCCTCCCTGGGCTGCCTTCATGCTGAGTTTCTTTCTGTGTTCCCCCGACTGCCTGGAGTTATAACATTTCTTTCTTTTCTTGCTCTTCCCTCCAAGATCTCCGACCTGATCCGACAGAGCACGAAGGAGTCCCCGCTCTGGGAGTTCCTCAGCCTGGGCTATGCCCTCATGCTCTGCCCCTTTGTCATCGTCCTGGGAGGCATGTTCTTCCTGGCCACAGCCCTCTTCTTCCTAAGTGACCGAGCCAAAGCTGAACAACAGTGAGTAGCCTTGCAGCCAGCAACAGGAGAGGGAGCCTCTTACTGTTTTATACCTGTTATGCTTGTATTGTTGTACCATGCCTTCAGTCCCTTCCAGGTGAAGGATGTGTCAGGCTCTTGTAAGAGTCACCGGGCATACAATGCCGCAAAAGGTGCTCAGACCAGGCTGCACTGGCTTTGCATCCTTTGCAAGTGTCTGCTCCACGGAGCTTCAGCTGGGGGCTGCATTGTCCTGGGGGGCACTGTCTCAATTGAGATTGCAGGCTTCCCTTCCCTTTTAATGTGGATGTGTCCCATGGGCACAGCAGGTCTAGCCACTTGGGATTAAGCTGGGGCCCTGCACCCTGGGACCAGTAGTCTCCCAGGACCACACCTCTGTGGTGCAGAAAAGGATGGACATGGGCTGTATCAGAGAACTCATTGGACAACTTTTAGCCCATGCTTCCCTGGGAGACTGCCTCTACCCTACTCCATACCTGAAATGTAAAGCAGCAGGCGAAATGATCAAAAGTATCATATGTGTGCATGTGCGGGGGAGATATACTAATTATATATATTAGCTCAGGGTCAGTATAGTAAAGATGATCTTCCCCAGCCCCCATTTGAAGCTTGTAAAACAAAAAAAAGGCTATGTGTTTTTCAGTAAAGAAACTGATTCGGACCACCTCACTGTTGGCAACTACAGTAACTCAGAAGACGCTTCCACATGACACACACAGTTTTGGGGTTAGTGTCTTTCTCATAATCATTGGGCAATAAGAGCACTGGCGTATCATGCTTGCGTTGAGTGTATTGGCAGGCGGGTGAGCTGTGAGTAGCCTTCATGTTGCTTCTGCTTGTTTGGAAGAGGTGGCACTGCTCTCACAAAGTGGTTTGCGCTGACAGAAACCCTGTCTACCTGTCTACTTCAGTACATTACTGGATTAAGTTGGATGGGCCGGTGATGCACCCCTGCATTAGGGGCTTCTCTGCTGTAATGACATGCATATATATATCCACCAGGGCAAATGACATTGGGAACAGGTTTTCAAGGGCACATATGAGATATGAGACCTCTAGAAGCAACGTAAGATGCTGAGAGCCAGGCATTTGTGCATGAAGAGTCAGGATGCACTTTGCAGTGCCTGTCTAGCTCATTCATTTGCTTGTATCTTAGACTTGGGAACCAGTGATGTGGAGCTGACACAACTGCCGTGATCCATGAGCTTTCTGCGAGGAGGGACAGTTCTGTCATTCCCTTTTCTTTTTATTAGCAACTAAGAGCATCCAGTCAGTGATCAGGAACCCTATCAATAATAGGTGATATCTGGACACTGTATAAAGGCAGTCACTGCTGCATATCTCACAGTTTAGGATATGTCAAAACAGCACAAGGGGATCAAAAAGAAAGGAAGAGGAAGAGGGAACACAAAGTGACAGTAACTTGAACTAAAACATTGTGCATTAAGCAATGGCAATTTTTAAGGCCCCGTCAATACTACAACTACAGTTTAGGAAAGGGACCTGATTACAAGCTGTCTTCCGACCAGCATGCAGTAGTATGGACAGGATGCCATCGTGTCATTTGTAATCTCAGTAAGGGTCAGTTAAACCTTAACCCTGCTCTGGTATCATGGTTTTGTTCCACCACCATGACCATTTCTGTGCGAACGGTACCTGTTCCCTGACCCTGCTACCACCAGAGTGAGGATGGGGCCTAAGTGTAAGTCAAGTGGTATTATTTGGAGGTGTAGTGAGATGAATGGAGCATCCTGATGCAGCCATAAGAGCACAGGTGGCTCTCAGAGAGTCCACTGCAGCCACTGGGTTTAACATGACCCATGCCATTGACCACTGTGTTAAAAGATCTCATATGGGATGGTTGGCCCATCTCTGTCACTCAGACAGCCAGGAGTGTTGAGAAACTTCAGCATTGAGCACCACAGTGCATGTGGAAAACAAGACCATGTTCTTTCAAACCTGTCCACCAGCAAAGTGCAGCAGCTGCTCCAACAGAGCATTATGGTACAGGAACAAGAACTGTCCAGCCACAGCACCTGCAGTGGGGTCCCAGCTGTATCAGCACACTTACCCAGCAGTGCAGTTCACTTTGTGTCAGTGGAGTTTGCCTCTGGCTGGTGAATGCTTTCAGTGCCCGACCTGTCACAGCTTCTTACATAGCCTCCCTCAAAAAAGCCTATTCCTCAGTTTGCACAATCCCTGCATTGTTTGCTGACGGGCTGACCATGCTGAGGTGCCAGTGAACGCTGGGCTCCTGTTGCAAGGCACCTGCCAGCCAGCCTTGCAGCATACAAAATCTGTTTATTGGGGTGGTCAGACATATGCAGTGGGATGAGAGGCCCCAGCTTCCTCATCCCCTGCAGAAATGGCAATGGCTTGTATCTACTTGTCACTGTCTGGGCTGAGCTTCCTGCTTTCTGCTTGTGCCAGAGCCTCCCAGCTTCCCTTCCCTATAGTCGTTCCTCATAGCATGGCAATTCATGCTTCC